CTAGTGGACAGAGCTCATCTGGGCCAACAAAGAATGAGCTAATGGCTGAGGGTCGCTGCTTTAAATGTCATGAGAAGGGCCATTTAGAACGCAATTGTCCCCGAAATGGCATGGTCGCTTCTGGGAGTCGCTCCCGCCCTCCTGGCCTTGCCTCCTCTAGCATCCGATTTAACTTTAGAGAGGTGAATCAGGCTACTAGTGCTGCTTCAAGGACTAAGGATCAAACCTCACTGTCTATTGATAGAGTGGGTTTTAATCTACTGGATCCTGTACAAACACGAGATCCTTCTATCTTGCAGCATGGAGATCCTTTTGGGCTCCCAAGTGAGGTATCAAAGTCACAAACTTGGACCTTGAAGTTTGCCCAGGGAATTGTTGAATGTCCTATTGGCCATTTCCTTGAGGATTGGAGTGAGAAGCGCTTAGATGCCTGTGGACCATATCCTGGGGATCCTGTAGAAAGGTCTGATGATAAGACATCAGATCGTTTTACAGTTTATCGCACATTGTCTCACTTTGTGTTGATTGATGAATCTCATACCTCTGACTCATGGCCACATGATGAAGAAGAGGTTCTGGTACCCTCAATTGTTGCAGAAATGGGAGATATTGTCCACTGGTACAAGGAATATTGTGCCCGGAAATTATCCATACCATGGTCCTCTCCTAGATCACGAGTGACAGACAATTATTGTGACTTGATTGAGGAGATGCTGAATGATCACCTTGGAACTGGATGTATCTCTGGTGTTGATGATCAGTTCCATGTTTGGAGTGTTGACTCAGACTTCGCAATGATTCATGATACACATCATGGGCACAAGGTTCGACTACCGAAGCGCCTATTAGCATATCCGAAGTTCCGGCTTTTTAATTGGTATCTCCGTCAGATTCAAAAGAAGGATCAAAGGAGTAACTCCTGGTCTATATGGAAGGCCCACTGGGGTGGTCTCTCTCATGTCTTTGACAACTGGCCACAAGCTTGGGATGCTATCAAGCCTCCTTGCGCTAGAGGTTTATTCTCTGGTCATGTGGGTATTAAACCTACTTCGTTGACTGGCTTACAACGTAATGCAAGCTCAACTAGAGATTTTAATCGCCTGGTCCCCATGCCCATGGTAATAGAGGTCCTTATTAATGGTCACAAGAGTCGTGCTCTTCTTGACTCTGGGTCTTTGGGTGATTTTATCTCCACAACGCTAGCAGATCAGCTAAAGTTGAAGCGAACTGAGCTTGCGAAGCCTATTGAGTTGCATCTTGCTGTTCAGGGCTCACGCTCAAAGGTTAATTATGGTACACAATCTGATTTCAAGTACCAGAATATCAAGGAACGTCGATACTTTGATATCGTAAACCTATCAAATTATGATGTGATCCTTGGAACGCCATTTCTGTTCCAGCACAAGGTATCCTTTGGTTTGAATGAGGAACATATCATAATTGGAAGTGAGACGAGCCTACCTATCCGTGGTGAGAATGTTGCTCAAATTGACGCTCGGGCTGTTGATATAGCAGAGGAGCAACTAGGACATGTCCGAGAGCAATTGTTTGAGTATGCAGCACCATTGTTTGTTGATGCTGCTAAGACACCGTTACCTCCGTTTCGAGCAATCAACCATGAGATTCCAATTATAAATGAAAACCAGGTCTATACCTGGCGTTCATCTAGATGTCCTGAAGCATTGCGCCAGCAGTGGGTGCAGAAAAAGAAGGATTATCTTGCAACAGAACATTGGAAGGTAACCACAGCCCGTAATACTGTTCCAATGCTGTGCATATATAAGCCTCATAGGCCGAAAGGTGCACCAGAGCTACGTACCGTGTTTGATCTTCGTGAACGAAATCGGAATACCCGGAAGCTCGCTGCACCATTACCACCCATTGATGGGGTTCTTCGTCGAGTTGCTGGACATCGATACCGTTCATTGATGGACTTGCAGAGTGCCTATGAGCAGATTCGGATTAAACCTGAACATGTTGGAC